GTGAAAATGATGATTTGATTTCTGAAGAGAATGTTTTCTTAGTTGAAGATATCGATGTACGTCAACACAGGCATCTTGTAGAATCATTACCGCTTTCAAGACTGAAAGAACAATCTTCGTAAGTTTGTTACATTTTTTTTTGATAAGTGTTCTCTATTTTTGATTATTGCATAATTTCTGTATATATGTGTGTAGAAATATCAGGAAATATTTTACTACAAATGTTCTCTTTTTAAAAAATTAAAAAAAATATAGTCTCCAAAACTCTTGGTCTTCAGATTCCTTGATATAAGAATAAAACTTGCACTCTGCTAGAGTGTAATTTCATCATGGGTAAATTTTGTTTTGATAAAGTCTCACAGTGTTATGCAGTAATGTTTACTGATGACATTTCGAGCACAATTTTTTGCTCATAATCATATCAAGGTGATATATAACATTGTGAGACTTTATCAAAACAAAATTTACCCATGAGGAACTGCAGATTCTTTACCCAATTCATCTCCATCAGGTGTGCTATTTATTATCAACTATTGGTTTTTTGGGGATTTTGTTGGATTGGTTGGAGGATTTTTAATCGGCGTTGGTGGCACAGTGGTTAGGACTCCCGCCGACCATGCACATGGTCTGAGGTTCGATCCCCTGCCGACGCACACTTGATATCTATGGTCGGCCTGCAAAATTTGGGCTACCGATATCACATGCTGAAAATTCCATACTTGTACCAAAAATGCGGTGTGGAATCAAGCTGCAATAAAAAAAATCATGAGCTGACATCGGTTAGAGAACCATTGGAAAACGTGCGGGGACTTCTGTTTCCTTCGTCCTAATGCTTAGGACTGCCTCTTCATCAGTACTCACCCACCGCCAGGGTTCGAAGCCAGACCCTTCCGGTTACAAGGTGAGCTAGTTCGTAGACCATTAAGCAGCCACTCACCCACTGGGACCAGATCCAGTGACCAGTCCATGAATCCTGACTTCTGTCAATTCACGCACGACTTAGCGCTACCACTTATAAATGTCTTTTTTGATGAGTAGCTGTCCTCACCTTCGACCTGCTGTACCCTACACTGGTCACGGCTTCTCACTACAACCCCATGTAACTGCCTAGCTTCCTGAATAGGACCAGCGGCTAGTCTCTGTCAGGCTTATAAGTCGCCATCCTATCGTACGAATACAAATTCACAAAACTGGCTAATGAAAAGAGTATGGCGGAACAAACCTAACGGATATCCTCCGAAAACTAAAAACTGAATCACCCATTGACGCTGAAAATTTCGAATCACTGAGGCTATCTGGCTCAAATATACCTCAACTCTATAGATCTCTGGAAGAACACAACAAAGACAACCCTATTTGACCTGATGAATTCATCTTATCATCGCACTGCCCAATGGTTAGTAGACGACCTACCTGCCACTTACTCCAAGATTCTTACAACTTGGTCGGCTCCATTGAAAACGTCAATGTTTCTGATCGCATCACTACATGTGGTATCACTATTCACAAACATCCCATTAACTGAAACAACATGCTAATATATGCGAACATATCGATTGAAAGGGGTTAAACACTGGTGTTGAAATGCACTCTAAATGTTCAATTCTCGTTCAGTAATGAAATATATATTGACAAGAAAATGGTATCTGTGTATGAGCTCACCAATGGGCCCGTTGTTTGAAGATTTCTTCTATGTTAAAAATAGAAAAGATATACCTAAAGAATATGTTTGACAGCTTTGGATTTTACAAAAGACCAGTGGATGATACTTTCATTATCTGTAATAATGTGGGGGAATTCAGAGGATATCCTGGACTTTCTCAATAACTGTCACTCTGCAATCCAGCTTAGATTAGAGAAGCAGTCTGACGAAACAAAAATATCTTTTGTGGATGTTCAGTTAACAAGATGGAACACTAAAAAGAGCGATCTACAGAAAGGCAACATGGAATGGACAACTTACTAACTTTCGCAGCTGGGTACCTCTATATAGAAAATGATCCGTTCACCGAGCCACAGAATCAGCAGCATTTGTAGCCCTGACACTACGGAATATATATATATATATATCGTATTCAGTTATCGACGTCCATGAACTCTTAGTCTAACGTAATCAATAAAATTTTGATGATAAGTACACTCGGTTTAAAGTGTTTATCAAAAGTAGACTAATGTTTTTAAGAAGTCTTAGGTCAAATTTTGATCACAGTTCATGCAATTTCGTTTGTTTATCATGCATTTTGATGCCTATTTCATGACTCATATGATTGGACAAATTATTTTAAAAGCAAGAGATGTCCTTCTTATATGTAAACCTCTGTTAATTGAATTTTGATTAATTTCCCTGAAGAAGTTCGGACCAGTTTGCCAAACACAGGGAACGTTGGAATTACTCAGTTCAATTTCGCTGAGAGTTTACAAATATAATTTTGATAAATGGCTTCTTTTTATTTAAATAGACAACACGATCTCTCTGTATATATATATATATATATATATATGTATATATACATATATATATATAATACTCTTGTAATATTGTGTGGATAACACATTCATGATTAACCACTCTCCACTGGTTGAACGATGTGGTCTAGTCCTTTGCATAAATGTAGGAAATTTGTATTATGAAATGTAAGCGGTGATGTTGTAACAAAGATAAATCCTGGGGAAGATCTGTAGCTCATAATAATACACTATCTCCATTGCATGTCGTGGTTAGCACATGACACATCATGGTGTTGAGAAACTTGTATTAATTTGTGCATAACATATGCGTAGGTGGGAGAGTGTGGGGTGCAGGAGGTAGGGTTAAGCATACCATTCAACTCTCGTTTGATATGTTAGAGAGGTAAATGAACAACCAGTCACAACAGTGGTGATCGCCAAGAGATACAATTGTAACATCATTCATGGAGAAAGAGACTCCATTTTTATACCATAACCTTTGCTTGAAGAAAGAGGAGGGCGACGACGACGAAAGTTTCGCAATCAAATCACTAACCCCAAACTCTCAGAGAACACAACTAATTCAAAGTTATGCAATAAAATATTCGCATTCTATGTCTTTGATTTAAAGTTAACACTACTTTGTGCGATAGAACTCTGTTGTGTTGTGACCACAGGAAGTCAAATTGTGCTGCCTTGCATAAAGCGTAGTGAAAGTCTGACTGTAAAGAAAGAAAAGTAAAGTAATTCTATGCTTTATTAATCACTTACTTACTTACTGATTGATTTTTGCTACAAAAACACTGTTTGACTTTCTAATGTATTGTTTAACACTTTCCACCTTCGCTAAAGAGATACAAAATATAACAATCCTTGTGTGTGTTTTTTTTCTAATCTTAAATTTAATTACATTAATTAGCCTAGCATTATGTCGTGTTAGTAAAGCCTATGGGGCTATGAATCTGTGTAGAAATCACTTAAAACGACCTGCAGTCGATCGTGTATCTTTAGCTATTCTACCATCAGAATGTTTTGGTTTATTGGGGGCAAATGGTGCTGGAAAGACAACAATTTTCCGAATGATAACTGGAGATTTAGAGCCATCATTTGGAGAGATTATTGTTGCTGGTTATGATATGAATAAAAATTTACGAAAAGTAAGTAGCACATTGTACCTGTGAGTAGTACATTGAATTTTTATAATAAAGGTGTCTGTTTTTGTATTTCCCAATGAATGAATGATAAACAAAAAAAGGATATTGATGTCGTTGTTTTCAATGACGACGTTTCGCTATATAGTGCTGCTGCTGCTGCTGCTAATAGCTTTATCATCAAAGTAGTAATATTAAACCAGATGAATTTACAAAATATCAGCTATATAAAACATTGCTGAGACTCAAGAAGAAATCTAACTACCCAAACGACTTCATCAACAGAATCAACATTGACATTAAATATGTTTGCAAAACGTATTCCAAAAATATGAATGGACCTCACCAGTTGTCATTCCATATAGATCAGAGACGTCAAAAGGATAGATACCAGAAGTGTACTCAACATCAGCACGACATCACAATTTTCTCCATCTTATTGTGTCTACAAAATAAAGTGCTTCCAATGTGATGCGATATGCACTGGACAAATATTGCTAGAGGGAAATCAAGGTAATCGGAAGAAATGAACACCATAGACCCGTATCTGTTCGACCACCGAGAAGTAAACCCAGTTGAACTAGATAAGCTTGGAAAATCATCAGCCACAGGTCGTCTACACGCTACGCTAAGTTATAGAATCAATCAGGTCACAAAATTGATTTTGATAATACGGAAATCATCATTCAGAAATAGTTTCAGAAATCACAAAGAACGTCTAATATCATCAAATGGAATCCAAATTGTCTGAACTGAATAGGAATGATGCACTGAAAGAGAATTTGACCTGGTTACAACACAATAACCCCCATTTCTCGCATGAAATGACAAAATCAACCCGAATGTGATAAGCAATTTCATTGTGTAAACACATGCTGCTTTTGTATCATTTTACACACTTATCGTATCCAACAATCTACCGCTTGGTTTTTCATCTTTACCAATTGACCAACTTGACAGCAACGTGAAAATGATCCCATGCTGATGAACAACGATTAAGTTGTTATGTGTATATATAAGCTGAGTGGATTTTGTAAATTCTTCTGGTTTAATATTACTACTTTGATAGAGTTATTAGCAGCATCATGAAATAGCGAAAGGTCGTCAATTAAAACGACAATATCATTTTGTTCTTCATTTATTGGGAAATACGAAAAACGTTTGTTACAATGTTTTACACTTATTTCGCTTGCAGAGCTATATATATATATATATATATATATATATATATATATATATATGCAAAGTATTCGGAAGCTTACTGTTTTCAACTGGAGGCTTCTTTTGACTTTAAAGAACTCTCCATGCATATTGAGTGACCCCAGTGTTGAATATATATGCAATTATGGATCCACTGTTACTCTTTTGTAGCCAAGCAGGATAATGTCCTTTGACTATTTTGCATGAAACACTCATCGAACGACTTATCCACCTCGCTCGCTCCACATGAGCAAGTAAATTGATAGATAGACATAGAAGTGATCAAATGCGGTAGTTTACCTCTGGAGTTGTTGAAGGGCAATGGGCGAGGGCCTAAGAACACCAATCGTAGTGTAGCAGCACGAAATGTTCTTTGCAGGGACTAAAGGTTTCCTGCCAAATATAGTTGTGGTGCTCTTACTACTAATTCCAGCCAAACCATTGTGGGCCTACTCCATCCGTAGCCTACTATACACAACAACAACTACTGCTGTAGCAGCAAAGGGCAAGACATGGAAGTCAAGGAATATTTTCTGCTGATCAAACCGCTATATATATACTTTATATTCGTTAAACAATCAGTCAGCGTGTCATTTCAGTTTACATTAAACGACATAAAATAGAATAATCAAATAGATACATTATTCTGTTGCTGATACAATACTGAACTATGGGAATATATGAGAATAATATTCCGTTGGACACGTTGTCTGTATCGCACAACCACAATACACTCATCCCATTGCCAAATATTTTCGATTGAATTGGGTTCTCTCCGCTTGGTGCTGGCGTCTTTGTTTGCTTGTCTTGCTTTATCCAGTTCCACAGCTTGCTGACGTTCACCTAGTTCACCTTGATTGACCCTGTCTCACGATGACCGTTTGTGGTCCTTCACACTTCGGAATCAGTTTGCGTGATGCTGACTGGCGCATAGCCGCCGATGTGTCGCCTCACATTATCATATGCTGCCTTCGCCCGACCTCCGAGCAGCAACGTTCCATGTAACAGCCTCTTGGCTGACGGATCTTGAACGCACTTATTCAACTCGGCAACAGCTTAGAATTTCTGCCAGAAGATGCAAATGTATGTTTCTTGAAAAACTACAGGCAGCGACACCAAGCGTGCGTGACAGCAGAAGGCAAAGACACGGAAGCCAAAGTATTTTTTAACCAATCACTGAGCGAGCGTTTGATTTTAGTTTTACATTAAACGACATTATTGTTAATGCAGTAGTGAACTGTAGGGGAATATTATTTGTGAGAATAAATATTCCGTTGGAGGAGCACACAGTGTTGTTGTCTGTGTATCGCACCATCACCACCACCACACTGCTATTACTGCTACTACTACAGTGGTTGAACATTTTCTCACTTCAGTTGTTAAATATTCTATCTCTATGTGTGTGTGTATGCGTTTGTGTATTTCAATTACAAAATTAATGTTGTTTCCTCTCTTGTTGTTGTTGTTGTTTCTAGGCTCAACAATCTCTGGGTTACTGTCCACAATTCGATGCACTCTTGCCGTATCTTACAGGATATGAAACCTTACAATTATTTGGTCGTCTACGTGGAATTAAAGAGAGAAATTTAAATACACAAATTGATAATCTTCTATATGATTTAAAATTAACAAAAATTGCTAATAATTTAGTTAGTCATTATAGTGGTGGAGAAAGACGAAAATTGAGTGTAGCAGTTGCACTTGTTGGTGGAACGCCTATAGTTTGCTTGGATGAGCCTACAACTGGTGTAGATCCTGTATCACGTAAATGTATTTGGAATTTACTTATGCATTATCGTTGTCAAGGTCGTACAGTTGTATTAAGTTCACATAGGTAGGTGGTATGTACACTTTAACTCTCCGTGGTATTCTACTTCTCATAAATACTCTTCTAATCACATGTAGTTTACATGTATTCTATGAGATTGCATATTATATATAACATTAGTTGATAATTGTATAACTAACTCGTCATTATTTATCTCTTTTGTTTATTTGACTGATTATTCACCGTCTCTACGCCTTTATTGCTCTGACTGGCTGACTGGTTTCAACGTAGAATTTCGCACTGATGTGCAGCAGCAGCAGTTCAAATCGCCACACTTCACTTAGCAGACTCCAACCAAGAGAAGAGAGTAAAAAGAGATCCAAAACAGAAAGAGAGAGAAAATAAACAGAAATATGAGGCAACACGAATGGTAATATGGAAGAAGAATACAGTTTTATTGGATACGATAAGTCACAAGGAGTGGATGTATCTGCAACAGCCAGCCATCATCGAGAACGATCACTTTGAGCCAGCCATCCAGCCATATAATCACCAATTGTCTTTAGTCTTCATTGGTTTTTACCGTCCCGTGGACCCCAACCAGTGAGGAGGTCGACACCACCTCACCTCCCTACGTAGCAGGCTGACTGGCTTAAGCTAACTGTTGTGGATTTCACTGACTGGTGATGAAGCCATGTTTCGGTTTGACCACCATCACTGACTAACTCTTTTCCAACGTGATGCATACTTTGTCAGCTAACATTGGCCGTCGGTCGACGAAGGCGATGGCTAGGCATGCATCCGTAAAACATGTCCCAGCCATCCATCTCAATCGATGTAACTGCTTCACAACCTCATCGACTGATTGATTCCCCCTCCTCCTTACCTAGCACTCGACCGATGCCTCAACTCAATATTGCTAACTCTATTATACCACCACTGCTCGCGGGGAATCGAACACAGGCACCTATGATCAAAGACAGCTAGCTAGGCTTTTCATATCTTCCACTTTCAATGGCCAGGTCTCGCAGTCAGCCAGCCATAAAGGAGGACAGGATGGACTGCTGAGCGGTACACACGCCCTTTGGTCAACAATCAGTCAGCCGGATATCACGTCTACTAAACACGGGACGGCGTAAACTGGCATATACGAAACAAGCCTTCTGTATTCGTACCCAGCTGAGATTTCGTCAGCGATCAACCCGCTGGCATTGGCTAGGCAGATGGAACTCCGCTAATAAGCGTGAATTGGTCAAAATGCTCCACCAACCACTTCCCTCGTGTCAATCTTCCAGCTAGGAGTCAGTCAATGAATGCAGTCTAGTCAATCCTGTAGCATCATCATCTTACATGTGACAGCAGCACGAGTCAATCGCATGCTAAACATTCACAGATTGCAGCTCAAGGTGTTCAGAAGACTCTGCTCTGTTTTTTTGTCAGCGTTCTCACCTAGAAGGAGTATATCATCTGCAAATTCTAAGTCAACAAGATTAGTATTCCCTGTTGGTAACAAGTCAATCCCTGAGTCTCTGAAGTTAGCAGTTAGGGTCAATTCCATTAGTACATAACTCTTAGGAAATAGTTTCATCTGATTTTTCTGACAAACATTCCCTTGAATTATTCTGAAAATGTCACAGCCTGAATTATTGCCAGTGAATTGAACTGAATTTCAGACATAGAACTTTACACAAAATTGGAGCGTACACAAAATGGCATACCTTTGATTTGACTGTCACCATTCACGTTTTTCCAGTCCAGTCCAGTTCTATGTCAGCTAATATTGTTTGACGAGAAAGGCTATGTCTCAGCATGCATAACACGTATCCAAGCCATTTCCATCGGTGAGGCTTGAAAACCCTATCGACTGATTTTCCAAACTTACCTAACACTCTACACGTCTAACTTCAATATTATTCATCATGTTATACTGTAACAACAGAAGACAAGGACCAGGCAACAGATCCTTCATTAAGGAAATCAACACATATTTATAGCTTTTCATGTACATATTATAGATAATTGTTAGCAGAAAAACACAATCTTCTGATTGGTTGTTTCTCACTGCAAGTTAATCTCTCATCTCTTTTTGGCTTTTCCTTGAATGTCAGATCATCTATATGCTAACTGTTTCCGCCTACGCACAGTCAGTTGTGGTTGGTTGTTGAATCAGTCTTCGTTCATATTTTTCTCACGACCCATATTGAGGAAGTAAACATTGACGTAAATTACTATCTACCGATTTGGCTAGTAGCCATTTCTCACCACAATACCACTTAGTACGAGAGATGTAGAGCCAACCATCCTTGTGATCAAACACAAAGAGCCTCTAGTCTTCCACTTTAAACGGCTACATTTCACAACTATAAAGAAAATTCGAATTGCTTCGTTGATTAGGTGGCCACCATTCTAGGTAGCTCACCATCATGCGGTGGACATTGATTTTGATGATATTAGATGGTTAGGGGTAATGGACCATAGAAAGCCTTACTCGCCCTAAGTTTCGTGCTAGTTGGCACTCACCAGTCAGTCAGCAAGGCGTATCTGCTACCTTGAGCCCAAGTAGCTCAGTTGTAACGTCTCTGATTATGTCAGTACTCATTGAGTGGTGACGTGGGTTCGAATCTCAGAATGGACACGAGTTTTTCCTTCAGTGTGGTTGCATATACATACACCTTGCTGACTGACTGATCAGTGAGTGCCAACTAGCACAAAACGTAGGTCGAGCAACGTTTCCTATGGCCTATTGCCTCCAACCATCTCATATGAGGATAATGTTCTTTGACTCCTTTCGATGTGCTATGCCTATACGCATACAAGAATGATAATAATAATTATTATTATTATCATAGTGATTGTACAGCTAAGTGATAAATGAATTGCCTGCCAAAAAGTGACCCTTCGCCTGACTAACTGTTTATTCTTCATCCCATGTGTGGATGGCTATTTTTCATCAACACTTAGTGTGTTACCTGCACTTATGTTGCCTCTTAATAGGCTAACATGTGATTGTTTCGCCTTTTCTTTTTTTTTGCAATCATGTAGAGAGGTAGTCACTGAGTTGCCAAGCGACTGTGGTTATGAGAAAAAGACGAAAACAGCGAAGAAAATTTTTTTTCGACGATTCTTTCTCATTCATAAGCCGCTGTACAAAAATCGGGATTATTATATTTAACAAAGAATTCATAAGATGACCAATCACATACTACTGGTCAAACCTGTCCTCGAAAAATGTATTACGTCATTTAAGGTGTAACCTAGAAGGGATGACTAATTGGAGGGTAGAAAACAGGGCCACTGGTTGGCATGACGTAATAAGTATGAGATATTGACTAATCAATAAGATTGTGTAGAATGTACAAGAACTAGTGGAAAAAAGATAAAGTGTTTTTTTATGTAAAATCAGTATGAAAACGCAATGTTATTAATAAACAGTAATAGAAGTATAATAGAATATGGATGATGGGAATAACAATGATAATAAAATAATAAAAATAATAATAGTAAACTTACATAATAAAAAGAAGCAAAGTTATAATCAGAACGTCACTATGGCCACGGTATGTCGAGTGAATGTATGTAGCGCTTTTGAGTGCAGAGGTCCGGTTCCAGATCCCCAATAGCCAGCCAATGATTCAACTATGCACAGATGGCGTATACGAAGTCTCTTTGTAGGATATTGAGGGACTCTTTGCAGCACTATGAGACACTCATGCGGAGGTACTCGATGTCCAGAGATGACAAGGTGTTCGAGGATGGTGCTGCTACTATTCTTCTTTTCTCCTCTGGTTGGCTGCTGCACAATGTTCCAGAATACGTTTGTGGCTGCTTGAAATGTCTCCTTCAGACATTTAAAAAAGCGGTTTCTGAGAATTTCTGCTTCAATGTCACCTTTGAATTCCAGGTACATGAAGAGAGTTCTCTTAGGAATAGTTGTGACTTTTGGCGACGGAGGCTTTTCTTTCATGTTTTAGTCTATGAATCTTGGTGGATATCCGTTCTCTAGTAGGATTTCACATGATAAATTCTTTCTCTATCGTGTCTTCCGACTGCGGTTAGCTAATTTATGCCATTTTGTTTTTTGCTAATGTTCTGATAGTGATTTCTGTAACACTGGCAATTTTCATTGCCATAGAATATTTTCCAAGTATTGGTATGTAAAGATTTCGTTTGATTGGTTAGAGGATTTCATCATGAGCTGACATCGGTCAGAGAACCATTGGAAAACCTGGGAGTACTGGACAGCTGTTTCGTCCTACTTTGAGACTATTTATCAGTACGCACCCAACGGGGTTCGAACCCAGGACCTTCTGGTTAGAAGATTAGCTTACTCGTAGACACTCACTCCCTGAGACCCGATCCAATGGCCAGCCAGTCAGTGGGTGAATCCTGACTCCTACGAATTCACGATATAACGCAACCACTTAGAAATGTCTTTTTTGCTGAGTAGCTGTGCTCACCTTTGACCTGCTGTACCCTACACTGGTCACGGCTTCTCAATAGAATCCCGGGTAACTGCGAGCCTACCCGAATACGGTGGGTGCCTACTGCTGAAGAGCTGGTCTCAAACTAGGTTGACGAAACAGCTGTCCAGTACTCCTTGCTCCCTGTCTAACCAATGTCAGTTCATGGCATTGAATACATCTAGAATATTCTATCTTTATAATCACAAGTACATATTTTGAAGGAATCAAGCACTTACAAAATAAGAGCATGGTATCTATCATCCTGTCCGCAGAACTGTTTTGCTTGTTTCTGTCACACTGTGTTGAAGTGTCAATACACACTATTCACTTGAAATTGTTCTTCCTCTCCATCATTTTCTCTTGTTGTTTTTGTTTTCTTTCTTTACAGCATGGAAGAATGTGAGGCATTATGTTCTCGTGTGAGTATTTTTGTCAATGGTAGAATAAAGTGTCTGGGAACTTGTCAACATTTAAAAACACGTTTTGGACATGGTTATAGTCTTCACATACAAGTAATGATTCCAACAGTGAATAATACTGGTTTATCAGTGAACACTAATTCAGAAGCATCAACTATGTCAACTACTTCAACAAGTATCTTAAGAAGTCGTAACAGTAATGCTGGTGTAGAAAAATCGCTGGAGTTAAATCAAACAACAACAACAACAGCATTGATGATTGAAGCTGTGGATAACGTGTCCAATTTTATTAAACGTGAATTTCCTGATGCTCGTTTAGTTGATCAACATCAGGTAGGGAAAAGGAATTTTTATTTATTTTTAATCTTTATGCAGAATGTATGATTTTGTTTTCAGTTAATTTGATCGTAGGTAATTGTTTAGATCTAGTTGAGTATATTTCAGACACTTGAAGAAGAGAGGATGATGGTGAAAAAGAAAACATGAACCAATGCAAAGATGGACAACAGAAGGAGAAGCTGAGTTGAATAAAAAAAGAAGTGAAGAACAGTGCTAGGAAAGACAAAAGACAATACTACAACACACTGGCTGGAGTCAAATGAAGCAGAAAAGGCAGTCAGGCAGGCTTCAGATAAAAGAGACCTAAGGACATTATATCAGATAACCAGGTCAATCCGTATCCGGGATGAGTTATCAACTCGGATGATGAAACTAATAAAAGATTTTGAATATGATCTAATTATCAAGGAGGAGAGATAAATAACACAATCGGCTGATCACTTCTAAGGACTCTTGAATCGACCATCACCTGCAACTTGGCCAGAAATACATCACCATCAAAAGCATGCACAGAACTACCTGCCAGTGGACACCAATCCTTCAAAAAAAGCAGAAATCCTGAATGCGATGCACTGGATGCAAAACTCTGCCAGTCACACTGGAACACGTTGGCTGGATTTTTCTTTATTCCTTCACGTTCCCAGTGGAACATAGGGCTCCAAGCTAGAGGCGTGAAGTTTCTGTAGCAGTGTTTTTTTTACAGGATGGGGTTGCTAGCCTCATGCCCAACCTTACCTCTTTACCAGCTCTTTTTTATTACTGGCTTAGCGAGGTGAAGGATTGCGTTGACCGGGGATCGAACCCCAGACCATGTGCATGGTCGGCGAGCGTCCTAACCGCTGTACCACCAGCGGTAAATCATATGCTGATCAAATAGCAACTCTACGCATCGTCATCATCCAACAGAACAAAGTATTGAGTGGATAACTTCATCGACTTCGAATAGGCCTTCGATGGATATTGTTGACTGAGAAGTATTTGAAAGCTGCTTCAACACTACAGGGCACCTCAAATCTCTATCAACTTCATGTAGCAGTTACATGACACTGCCACGTGTCAGGTGATTCACAGTGGGAAACTCAGCGAAACCTTTCTGGAGATAAAAGAGGAGTAAGACCAGCTGGCTGCGTTTTATCACCAACGATGATATTCCTAATTTTGGTGGACTGGATTATGCATCAGACTGTGCATTGGGTGTGAGTCAGGAGTCAGGCGTACTCTGGACCACCGATTAGAAGAGTCTAGAAGATCTGAATTTCGCGTTTGAATGATTTATCTTTATGAAGACTTACAGGCGAAAAGTGACACCGAACTGGCAGGTGAAGCAGTGAAGACAGGACTTCAGGTGAACATGGAGAAAGTGAAGGCGATGAAGATAACCAACGAAGCGCAACAACCAGCACCAGTCACCATCAACGGTAGAGATTTGACAGAGGCTACTTCCTTCACCTATGTAGAGAGCACGGTTTCAACCACAGTCGGAATGGATGAATATGTTAAAGCCAGCAAGATAAGCCTTCACCAATCTGAAACCAGTTTGGAAATCTTCCGCAGTTCACTGAGCATAAAGAAGAAGTTGGTTTGTAAGGATTGATACCAGTTAGAGAACCATTTAAAACCAGGAAGTACTAGACAGGTGTTTCCTCCTAGTTGGTGGTCGCGCTAAATCATGAATTGGCAGAAGTTATAATTCATGGGCCATTGAATCGGTTCCCAGTGGCTGAATGGTATACGAGCTTGCCTTGTAACCAGAAGGTCCGAAGTTCAAACTCCAGTAGGTGCGTACTACCGATGGTTCCCAAACTAGAATGAAACAACTGTCCAATACTCCCCGGTATTCAATGATTCTCTAACTGATAGCAATCCGTGGTCAAACTCGTAAATATAAAGAAAAAGATTCAGATTTTCGACATGAATGCGCAGTTAGTACCTCTACACGGGTCATAAACTTGGCGTGCTAAGAAAAGGATTTCCAACGGTATGCTGCCACCTACAATGGCCTCATAATGCAAATGAAATGACCAGAAAGAATAAGTAACAAGACACTCTGGCGATGAATTAATGAACCAACCAAGAGCTGATTGCTCAACAAATATGCAGGACAAAATGGAGATGGATTGATTGAACATACATTGAGGAAACCTTCGAATGACATTGCACGTAATGCAGGCCATCTATCACCCTGGTGATTATTGTTATTATTATTCCCTTGGGTTTCGAGTGGAACCTATAATACTGGCTTCAACAACACCATATCTCCACTTTCTCCTATTTTCTTCCGTCCTCTTCATCTGGTTGACCCCGCGATTGCCCATAATCTCTCATCTCCTTCAGCTCTCCTGACCTCCTCCATGTCACCCTCTCACTGACCATCCACTCGTCCGTCGCTTCACATTGTGATTCCGCTAGAGAAACGGCCTGACACACTATGTCACTCGACAGTCTCCTCAGTGTATGCTTCATCAATCCATCTCCATTTTCTCCAACATATTTGTATAGTGATCGCCTCTTGGTTGGTATTTTTATCACTGCAGAGTTTCTTGTTACTAATTCTCTCCGGCTAGCCATTTGATCTTCAGTATGGAGGCAGCCAGCCAGTCAGCCATCGGAGGTAGCGGCTGTTGATAAACGTCTGCAACAGGCTGTTAGAAATCCTTTTTGTGATGTACACGCACTGGACAAGTTGGTCACCCGAATAGAAGCACTGACTGACTGACTTGACATTGGTGTTGAACAGAATCCGAGTCTTGTTGGTTGGGGTAGCTGAGGCGGAGTGAAGCAGAAGATCTGCAAACTGATTTCATGTTGGTGAAGGCGTGCGTATCTTGCTTGTCTTTCCGATTCTGACTGACTGGTTAAAACTGGCTGTCTTTGACATCTTTATCCGTGCCATCCGTCTGTAGTTGAAACGATACTGGCTGCCTAGATAAGTGAATGAGGTAGCCTCTGTTAAATCTCTTTATCCCGTTGATCGTGACTGGTGTTGGTTGTTTTCGTTGGTGTTGCTGTTGGTTTGTTGGCTATCTTCATCACTTCCGTCTTCTTTATTTTTCCACCTGCTGTCCTGTCTTTGCTTCCTCTTCAGCCATTTTGTTGGTTATCTCACATATAAAGTGGTATAATATCGTGAGTAATATTCGGGTTAGGCCTCGAGTGTTAGGTAGGGAGAGAAGCTATATCGACTGAGTTGTCTAGAGCATGTGTTACGTTTGCATGGCTAACATCATTGCCTTACTTGAGAGTCAGTGTTAACTGACATAGGATGGATCAGATTGGAAAAGAGCTAATGGTGGTGGCGGTGGTGGTCAAACAAAAACATACCTTGATCAGTTCATACAAATCTCGACAGTTATTTAGAGTTATCCACGTAGGGAGAGAAAGGTGTAGACTGCCTGATTGGTTGGTGCCCTTGGAATTCTAAGAACCAATGGTTGGAGGGGATAAATGATATATTTCGAAATCGCTCTCATTGGTCCAGATTCATTCACACCCTCTCATTTCGGCTGGCTAAAAATCGTTCCCAGTGTGATGGCTGACGCAGATGCATATATATATATATATATATATATATATATATATATATATATATATGTATATATATATGGATCCGTCTGGTTAAGTGACATTTATTCATCATATCGCTTTATTTGGTTTTCCATTTTTAATTCTGTCAAATTTTCTCGTTTGATTTTAGTATTCGTCCTCTTCTTCTTCTTCTTTAACTTACAGGGTGTACTACAGTATCATTTGCCTACAGATGAACACAATCAAATTTGTTTAAGTCGGCTATTTCATTTAATGGAGGCGAATAAAACACATCTCGGACTTGTTAATTACTCGATTAGTCAAACAACGTTGGAACAAATATTTATTGATTTGACTAAATTACAAGAAGAACCACCGGTGTCAACTGTTGTTGGACAACAGTGAATTTCGCTTCTTTCTTTCTCTAAGAGTTTACAATTTTACTTAAGCATACCTGTGTTTGCGTGTAAGAGAGAGAGTGGGAGACAGAGTACTTTCTCAGTTGCCCCCCCCCCCCATAAATCTCATACATTATTATAATTTTTAAAATTGATTGTCTTTTAATGTTGTTGGTGTTGTTGTTGAAGTGTGGCTTGTTTCCGCTCTTCGATATGTGCATGAAAGTGATATTACACATCACATTGACCTGTTGCCGTCTTCGTAGTCGTCATCTGTCTGTCATTTAAAACAAAAATTCCAACACAGAGTAGTAAGACAGTTTAAACACACACACATTATTGTTATTACTTTCAGTCATAATCATTATTTTTAATTATTTATTTTTCTTTGTTGCTCCTAGAATTGTGTAATTTCTCCCTACTTTCATCGTAATAAAAACGTTTTTCCTCTTTTTTTTCATAATTGCTGTTTCCAATAAGAACACTGATGATGCTCGTGATGGTGATGATGACAGGTGTTGTTTCCATGTGAACAGAAAACTTGTAAGAAAGACTAGGTGTTATGCTCCTGAGAAGCAAAAATCTGTGAAAATCACAGGTGAACTGTAGGCACAAACGAAGGAGTGTGTACGCATAATTCGCATTATTCGCCTCTATCAGCCTAGTGGGAATTATGGTATTGTCTTGGTGAGGAATTATATATATATATATATATTACATCAGAGTTGTCTTAGAGGCATTAATGGATGTGACTTTAATCGATCTTCGCAACTCAGAGATTGACTTATCACCAGAGTATAATGTGTTGTCGTAGTATGCAAGATGGTGATGAAATCCGTCTGGGTGTGGAGATGTTGAAAAAATGCAGGATTTTATGGACACGAGCAGAAATTTTCGAATGTTTGCCCTATGTGAGTCGTCTCTGTCAAATGTAAGATGGATCTGTGAAGGACTGGTGTGAGCACCGAGTTTAAGAATAGACAATGGAAATGGTTGGTGAAGACCACTGACCACTTCATTCACTTGGAAAGTTTGAATTCGTCCTGGTGAACTGGCTTGTGTGTGTGTGTGTGCATGTAGCGTTCGCAAAACTGCAGAATCTCTAGGCTGAACACGATATCCAGAGCTGTCGACTAAAGGATATTTTTGATTGCACACTAGTCAGTAACTAGTGTAATGTGTGTGTGTCTGTGTAGTCCTATCTTTTTGAATTCTGTCTGTTAGTCAAGTTTTCAGTGTGGCCATCATGCCACTAAGTAGCTTGCCATTATTACGTTACACTGTTAACTGTTGGTATTAGACGGTTGGAGACAATCGGCCACAGGAAACCTTGAACTTAGATTACGTGCTAGTTGGCACTCATCAGCGAGGCTTAGTGGTGACACGGGTTCGAATCTTAGAAGCGATATGAGTTGTTCCTTCAATGTGGTCGTAGATACACACGCCTTGCTTACTGACTGACCGAATAGTGAATGCCAGCAAACACAAAAACTTGGTCGACCCAGGCCTCCTATGGCCAACTGCTTCAAACCATCTAATATCAACAATTAGGTTTTTTATTATATATATCTTAACTCCACAGCGTATTTTTGATAGGAGTATGGAATTTTCAGCATGTGATACCGGTAGCTCAATTTTGCAGGCCGACCATTGATATCGGGTGTGTGTCGGTAGTACATTGGACTTCGGACCATTTACATGGTCGACTAGAGTCCTAACCGACGCAGCAATTTGAATTTTCTTTATAGTTGTAAAATGTAGCCGTTTAAAGTGGAAGACTAGAGGCTTTTTGTGTTTGATCACAAGGATGATTGGCTCTATATCTCTCGTACTAAGTGTTATTGTGGTGAGAAATGGCTGCTAGCCAAATCGGTAGATAGTAATTTACGTCAATGTTTACTTCCTCAATATGGGTCGTGAGAAAAATATGAACGAAGATTGATTCAACAACCAACCACAACTGACTGTGCGTAGGCGGAAACAGTTAGCATATAGATGATCTGACATTCAAAGTAACTTTATAAGTTAGTTGAAATTTCTGCAACTCACTCATAACTCTTAGCACAGTTTGCACTGAATGGAATCTGAACTGAACTATTATTCCCTTCTAAAACTTTCGATAAGCTCATAAAACACGAAATTTGTCTCAAAAATGTGGTCTATTCGACCAGTATATATATATGGCACAATCTAAGCACACATTTAATTACCAATCCAATTTGTATGAAAAATGAACAAATGGAAAGTCATTTACAATAGACGGAATAATAAGGGACTTAAGACTAAGCAGGATAATAAGTGACGCTGACATTGGCTGCACAATAAGATGAGAATTACCAGGCCGGCCTAAGGGTGACAAACAATTGTTTGTGTAGGCACAGTTGGAGGTGGGGTCTTAATCTCACCGATGCATACCACCTCAGTTTATTTCAGTATGCACTCGTGATGGTTTGCATAGATGATATTCTTATGAGTCATGAGCATTTGAACAGCGGCCCTCTTCCTAACTGGCAGATTTCTCGCTTCTGCTCAACCCGTCTCATACAATGCTGTTCTTATCAGTCATCCACATTTTGCCTTGTTTCTAGATTTCGTAAGATATATCTTTGATGTTGAGTTGAGTAGGCTATCTCCTCAGAATCTTCGTATCGTGTATGAGTCATTAAAAATATTGATGCACTCGAAGTACACTACAACGAGCATCCCTGTTGTCATTGTAAACACTTTTGGATACTTTCAGTGATAAAGTGACTGTACTCATCGTGTCCTCTTCGTTATCATTCGAGTGACGTGATATCCCTGCTATAGAATGACTTATTCATTAAGCATCGCCACTTGTTACCTTCGCTCACTTTGTTAGTAGTCGACAGTGCAGTCAATCTTCTTGTGAAAAACATGTACTGGTTAAAAACCGTCTTCTTATTGTTCAGGATGCAGTGCTGCTCATAAATTAAACATATCAATAGGATACTGGGCGTCACAAACACTAAGGCGTCTCTACACTTAGCTATAATCTGATGATTCGACAATTGGATATCTGCTGTTGTAGAAGGCAGTTCCATAACATTGTGATATAAGTGAAGGTAGAATGAGTGTATGTGTAAATCCTGCGTATTCTGGCAGTATGTAATTCCATATAAATTTGTTAATTGGATATATCACACACACAGAGACTGAAACAGTATTATTATTATTATTAACTGGATGATGACGCCTTCCGAACACAATAAACTGTTCGTAGTCTAATCACTTTTAACCACACGACTTGGAAACTTTCGTGGAATGAGGTTAGAACACACAACCAGTGGTCGACTTATTGGTTGTTGTGCAACCGAGTGATCACTGCTTACGCTAATTGCGAAATTGATCATAACAGCTTTTCGGTATGAGTAGTCGTAACAATAAAGTCGAGAATGTATGAAAAGTTTGAAATAATAATAATAATGCCAATAACTACAGTCCTGGGATAGTTGAAGTAGTATCATTCACTATTGCCAATTACATAGTAAATTGAAAGTTTCGCACTTAACACTTTCTCTGTCACACAGAACACGCGAGGGCTGAATAGACTATCGTTGAGTTCTTGTACTTCGTTTACGATCAATAGTGCTAGTGAAGGTGAAACAATATGGATTTAGACCATTCCTCTCTCTAGTTCAAGTGTCTGTTGACTACAGTGTTAACTAGCTGACCCAGTGATGGAATGCTACTTGCCATACTGACGAGCTTTAATATCCTTCGCCTCAATATGACTTAGTCGTTTTTGAGTAGCCCAGGAAAGACAAAGCCGGAGCAACAAGTGACAATACATAAGATGCGAGAGTTAACAAATTCTACAAGTAGAGGTCCAGTAATTCCAGATTGTCCCCACTTCTCAATGTAGTATGTCAGACGGGACATCTTTAAGGGATCAACAAGACATGGCACGATCGAGGAAGGTCAGAGGAGAAAACTATTCCAAGGTATTCTATGCTTGACTTAGTTTGTATTTCAGTGCCCTCGATGCCATGAGCATTGTGTGGACGAACCCGTTCGTGACGATCCTGTGGATCATAGATAATATTCGTATCTCTCACTTTCTCTATATATTCGAAGGTATCCTTCAGGCTATGCCCAGTCACTCCTTCCTGCAGTGGTTCGAGTGTGTCTGTTGGCCGTCAACCAATTTCATGATGTGGTCAGTTTAACATATCTAATATTCGTCATACCGGCATTTTGGACTTTTGATTTTAGTTAGCGCATACATTTCTGAGTATATTTGCTCCTAAAGGCCTAAGGCGTTCGAGAATTTGGCGGGACAATATACACGACTGGATACCGATGCTTTCAGTATCTTACAGATTTCCTTATCCACTTTATCTGTACCGTCAGGTGGGATTGTAGGTTCTTCAGTGTACTGTGGAATGCTGTTCATCTTGTCGATGTAGTCAGCTACATCTGGTAATACGACCTCAGCCAGACTCTCCGATCTCCTAATATGAATGCCTTGATTTGATCTGATTCTCTTTAACGCTGCAATATGAAGCTTGCTCAGGATACGTTTCTCAGTCGCCTTCTCCTTTGATATTGACAACAGTTTCCAACAAATTCGGGACAATAATGAAACGATTATTAAAAACCATGCGTAGACTGACGCGTAAAATCCGAAAACACAGGATTCGTTTGAAATACGGCAATATACTTAACACTAAATATGAAATATAATATACGAAGCTCAGTTGTGAGGTGTCTTTGGCTTAGTGTCCTCAAAAACACAGTCGATTTGAGCCAATAAGTAAAAATAGCTGTGCCAGAGGCGATCCTCGTGTTATTCAAACAGCGTGCGAATGTCAGACACAGAATTAAGGGAAACGGATAAAGAAAGTTCAACGGAAAAAGGTACAGGAGTAAAGCGTATACAGCAAATAATGTTCTACTATCGGAAAATAATTATTACACATCTAATAGACTATTAATACATTGGGTGAAATAAGCTTGAATGTCGGATAAGGACACACATAGTAAAGT